TTTTTAAAAATGTTTTATTTATCTATTCATGAGAGTCAGAGAGAGAGAGAGAGAGAGAGGCAGAGGCAGAGGGAGAAGCAGGCTCCCCACTGAGTAGGGAGCCCGATGCGGGGCTTGATCCCAGGACCCTGGGATCATGACCTGAGCCGAAGGCAGACGCTTAACCATCTGAGCCACTCAGGCGCCCCTGCTTTTCCCTAACTCTTGACTGAAAAAGCACAAGAGAAATCTATAGCCCCCCCCCAGTTTTATTGAGGTATAACTGGCATACAGCACTGTATAAGCTTAAGGTGTACAGCATAATGATTTGACTTCAATCTATAATTCACTTTAATTTTTTAAAAAAAGATTTTATTTAATTAGTTGTCAGAGAGAGAGAGAGAGAGAGCACAAGCAGGGAGAGAGGCAGGCAGAGGGAGAAGCCGGCTCTCCGCTGAGCAGGGATCCTGATGTGGGACTCGGTCCCGGGATCATAACCTGAGCAGAAGGCAGACGCTCAACTGACTGAGCCACCCAGGTGTCCCTCACTTTAATTTTTTTTTTTTTAAAGATTTTTATTTATTTATTTGTCAGAGAGAGAGCACAAGCAGGGGGAGTGGCAGGCAAAGGGAGGAGCAGATCCCCACTGAGCAGGGAGCCCGATGCAGGGCTCCAGGACCCTGGGATCATGACCTGAGCCAAAGGCAGACTCTTAACTGACTGGGCCACCCAGGTGTTGCCCCTCACTTTATTTTTTAAGCAGTTTTTTATTTACAGAGTAATTGGATAGATAGCACAGAGTTCTGTATACCTACCCCACCTCCATTCCCTCCCCCAGTCTCCCCTGGTAACCTCTTGCATTAGTGTGGTGCATTTCTCACAATTCACGAGCCAATACTGATACATCACAATCATTCTTTGTATTTTAAACTGTGGATTTTGACTGATCCATACTAACATGTATGCACCTTACGGTTTCATACAGAATAGTTTTGTCACTCTAAAAATCCTCTGTATGTCACCTATTCATCCATCCCTCCACTCTCCCCTGGGAGTTCTGGCAACCACTAATCTTTTACTTGTAGAGATTTTTACTAATTTCTACAGTTCTCCTTTTAAAAAATGTCGTATAGTTGGAAACAGAGCATGTATCCTTTTTCAGACTGACTTTGGCTTAGTAATATGCATTTAAGTTTCTTCCATGTCTTTTTGCGGCTTGATAGCCCCTTTAAAAATTTTTTTTTTTCATTTCTTTTTATCAAGAAATAATATGCTATTATATAGATGTACAACAGTTTGTTTATTCATTCGTCTACTGTAAGACATCTCAGTTGCTTCCAGTTTTTGGTAATTATGAATAAAGCTGCTATTAGCATTCATGTGCAGGATTTTGTGTGGACATAAGTTTTCATCTAATTGGGTAGATTAGAATGAGTGCTGGATCACATGGTTTAGTAAGATTATATTTAACTTTGCACACTATCTTCCAAAGTGGTTGTACCATTTTGTATTCCCACAGGCAATGAACAGGAGTTCCTGTTGCTGTTGCTCCTTGTCAGCGTTTGGTACCATCAGTTTTTTAGATTTTAGCCATTCTGGTATGTATGTAATGGCATTTCATTGTTTTTCAGTTCCCTAAGATGATTATCTTTTCATACGCTTATCTGTGTATCTTCATTGGTGAGGTGTCTTTTGCCCCCTTTTAATTGGGTTTTTTGTTTTCTTACTGTCGAGTTTTAAGAGGTGTGTGCGTATGTGTGTGTATTTTGGGGGGGAGGGGCAAAGGGAGAAGGAGAGAGAATCTTAAGCAGGCTCCATGCTCAGTGTGGCGCCCGATGAGGGGCTTTGATCTCAGAACCCTGAGATCATGATCTGAGCCAAAATCAAGAGCCGGACGCTTAACCAACTGAGCCACTCAGGCACCCCTCTTTGTATATTTTAGATACAAGTACTTTATCCCATGTGTGTTTTGCAAATATTTTCCCCAGTCTGTGGCTTATCTCTTTATTTTCTTAATAGTGTCTTTCTCAGAGCAGAAGTTTTAAATTCTAATAAAGTGTATCTTGCAAATTTTTGTCCATTTCATTTGGTACTTTTCTAAGCACTGGGGATACAAAAGTTGGAAAAAAACAAAACAAAACCAACAAAGTCCCTGTCTTTGTAGACATTACATTCCGGGGGGGAGAAGGGTAATAAATAAAAACATTTCTGATGGTGATGAGTACCAACAGGTCTGATCAAAGAAAAGGAAAAAAAGCAGAGAAAAATGACAGTGCCTGAAGGGTAGGGATAGGAGTCACAATTTTAAATACAGTCATCAGAGAAGGTCTCAGTGGTAAAGTGACATGTAAGCAGAGACTTGAAGGAGGTGAGGGGATAAGCCATGAGGATATCTAAGGGAAAAGAATCCTAGCGCTGCAAATAGCAATGACCAAGGCCCTGAGGTGGGAGTGTGCCAGTGTGGAAGGAGAAGCAAGCAGGCCAGTGTGGCTGGCACCAAGTTAGGGGGGGAGAGGGGACAGGTAAGACAAGCCGGAAGGCAGGGTCTTGTGGGCCCCTGTTAGAACTTTGGCTTTATTCTGAGGTGGGAAGCTTATGTGTTAACGCAATCACTATAGATATAGCACTGAGAAGAGACTTAGGGAGGAAAGGCAGAAGCAAGGAGACTAGTGGGGATGACACTGCAAAAATCAATGCACAGTAGCAATGGGCTGGAAAGAAGTGGTCAGATTCTAGAAATATTCTAAAGGTAGAACTGGCAGGATTGGCCGATAGGTCAGAGGTGGGGACTAAGAAGAAAAGGAGCCAAGGATGACTCCAGTGTTTTTGGATGAATGGGACTGTCATTTACGGAGAAGAAGTTAGAAGAAGCAGATTGAGCAAAAGCAAAACTCATATACAAATTATACAAATTATACCCTTCTCCCCCCAGAAATGTAATGTCTACAAAGACAGGGACTTTGTTGGTTTTGTTTTGTTTTGTTTTTTTCCAACTTTTGTATCCCCAGTGCTTAGAAAAGTACCAAATGAAATGGACAAAAATTTGCAAGATACACTTTATTAGAATTTAAAACTTCTGCTCTGAGAAAGACACTATTAAGAAAATAAAGAGATAAGCCACAGACTGGGGAAAATATTTGCAAAACACACATGGGATAAAGTACTTGTATCTAAAATATACAAAGAGGGGTGCCTGGGTGGCAAATTCCTATCTTCATCCACTTGCTGTCAAATAAATAAAATCTTAAAAAAAAAAAGAGAGTGACATACAAGGAAAATCCAAGAGAGATAGAACGGTGTTCTGGAAAACAGGGGAAGGTGATGTTTCAAGGACTGCGTGACTGACTTCATTAACTGTACGGCGAGGTCAAGTAAGAGGAGGATGGAAAACCTTAGCAATGTGGGATTCCTGGTGAGCTTGAATGGGGGGTTCAAAAGAGAACAGGAGGAGGAAGTGAGGACAGAGCTCAGGGAACTCTTAACAGAGTTTTTTTTTTTTAAAGATTTTATTTATTTATTTGACAGAGAGATACTCAGCGAGAGAGGGAACACAAGCAGGGGGAGTGGGAGAGGGAGAAGCAGGCTTCCGGCTGAGCAGAGAGCCCGATGCGGGGCTCGATCCCAGGACCCTGGGATCATGACCTGAGCCGAAGGCAGATGCTTAACGACTGAGCCACCCAGGCACCCCAACAGAGTTTTGTTTTAAAGAGAAACTGAGGAATAGGGCAGTATCTGGATGGGATACACAGCCAGGGCAAGAGTTTTTTGTTTCTAAACAGGAGAAGCCACAGGCTGTGTGCATGCCCATAGAATGATCCAGTAGAAAGACGCATAGGAAGCAAAAGCAGAGAGTGAAGTTATTTGAGGATGCACGATGGTTTCTATTGGTAATGAAGTTACCAACATGGCTGACTTTATGGCAGTTCCTTGTCTATGGGCAGAATTATAGTAAATGCAAACTTTCCATTAGAGTTTAAAATGCTTTTTTTTTTTTTTTGTTCATGAGAGTCAGAGAGAGAGAGAGGCAGAGGCAGAGGGAGAAGCAGGCTCCCCGCCCAGCAGGGAGCCCGATGCGGGACTCGATCCCAGGACCCCGGGATCATGACCTGAGCAAAAGGCAGATGCCCAACCATCTGAGCCACCCAGGTGCCCCCTCCATTAGAGTTTAATGAAAATAATATGCAGTTTTTTTTTCCTATCCAAGTTCATGAGACCCCCTGGTTTTAGGTCGTGATCATGACAGAGAGTAGCTAAGGTAGGGTGGATGAACTGAGAGGCTGAGGTATTGGAGAAATGGAGTATGTGGATAGTGAGCTCTCCAAGAATTCTGAAACAGTAGTCCTACAGAACGTGACAGTGAGCTGGGAGCTAAGATCTCAGCCCCTTCCTGAATGAATGCTGCCTGAGCCAGGGAATCCCCAGTGCACAGGGCAGCTGCTTCTACTTCTGGACAGTGAAAATGATAGGAGACTTTTTCCTTATTCTGAGTTAAACTCTACCACCTAGTACTCCCCAAACTGCTCCTCACCCAGTCCTCTAGAACTATTCATGATGAGGCAAAACTCTCTGACTTAACATAGCTCTTGAAAGCAATTGAGAACAGTTCCAGGTTTCTTTTCTAGGAAGAATATCTGTCTTTCGACCATTCCTTATGCATCATTATTTCCAGGACCTCCACAATCTTGGTTGCCTCTTTGGGATACTCTTGTTGATTTCCTGGGGATGGTGGAGTCAGGGGCACTATCTTCTGATTTCCCTTCTGATGTTCAAATCACTATGGTAATTAATACTTTATTTTGTCAAGGCCAGTGTGGGCACAACATTGTATTGAGCAAAAGCAAAACTCATATACAAATTATACAAAGATGTTTCTCTCTCACAATCTGCAGCCTCCTGCTATCCCTAAATTCATAGTGACTAATGTTATAGTAGTGGAATTACAAGAAAGAACATTACAGTGTTAATATTCCTAACACACTGCAGAAAAGACTATGAATTAGTGCATGAGAAGGAATACTTACGAGAATATCAGTATTTTCAAAATAATTTCTCCAGTATGGTCTGATTTTTCTCTGTCCACCAATGTCCCATACATTCAGTTTAAAACCTTGTGATTGTACACTTTTGATGTTAAATCCCTGAAACAGAGGCAAAAACACCAAGCTTTATTAAGTTTTGAGATCATAATTCTGACAAAGTTATATTTAACAGCTATGTTATTTATTAATTATGAGGTACTCTGCCAAATGTGATACTGGTAACACTGAAAATAGTCTGCTATGATAGGGAAGAAAGAAATGTGTTTTTACATGCTTACTTCATTCAGGTTTGGAGTCAATATTAATGTCATGGCTAACATGACACTTTCTCTAATAAGTGTACACACGTGCACACACACACCACTGCTGAGGACAACTTGGAATGAGAATAGTTCTGATAATCAACACAGACCACACCTCCTGATGGATCCTCAAGATGGTAACATTTAACAGAATATTACATTTAACCAACAAAAAAACAGAAGCTAAATCTGAAGACTCAATAGAACAGAATAAATTCCAAGTTTAAAAAGAGGCAAGAGCTACAATCTGGAAGACAGGATTCTTTAAGAAATTTCTTCATATGGGTTAATCAGGAAAAGGAGGGAGCTGAAGTCACTACACTATGGGAGAAGCTGGTTTGTAACTGGACCCTTAGCCCCGTGAGGAAGGGATGACCTGCTGGAATAGCATGTTCAAACTCTGAAGTGGGGCCCTCAGTTACAGGAAGTGATGAAAATAAACAAGCAGGCATTGGAAACTCTTCTTTCATAAGCATTTCTGATGAACTTGAAAAGAAAGTATTCATTTTCAGGACAGTGACTCAAGGTGGAACTTTGAAGAAGGTGAGCAAATCAGGGGCAGGTGGAACTGTGAGCTGGGAGTTGGTGTGCAGAAAAACAAATTAACAAGACCTCTGGGGTTTGGAGAGAAGGCATTTCATGAGCAATAATTAAAAAATAAATCTTTTTCTGAGAATGATATAGTGAAATCAGGACTTGAAAAATCCAATCAACAGCTTGCTATCACAGAAGTGACAGTTTATCCAGGAGAACTGGAGTGAAGTGGGCCTGGGGATGTCTCCATAAACATTTGCTTCATATGGCAGCCTGCTAATACTACTTGCCTCTTGCAGAAGGACAAGGCACAGTGTGACGGTGTAGGAACACTGCCACCCAATTGCCACTGAGGATAAATGGACTATAGGGGATCCCTGGGGATGATGCTGACTACAGCTCCCGTAAGATGCCAACAACTGAATAAATTAGAAGTTTAAGAACTCTAAAGGGAAGTGGCTTAAGCTTATTGCAAAAGGCAGCTTCATTCTGACTCACTGACAAAACCACTTTTGTGTGCTGAAAAGTTCTACACTTAACTACAATATTCAATGTCAAAGCCAGTAATGTCAAATCTTTCTGGAATGAAGCAGGAGATAAATAAGAGTAACTCCTGGAATTTGACCATATGTATCAACAGCCTTAAAATTCTATAAGTCATCAAAAGAAAAAAAATTCTATTAAGTCATCGGACCAACAAATCTAAGAAATTATTCTAAGGAAATAATGGGTGCAAACATTTAGAAATGGGTATTACATAAGTATTATTTACCTTTATTTTTACTTTTTTAAAGATTTTATTTATTTATTTGGCAGAGAGAGACAAAGTGAGAGAAGGAACACAAGCAGGGGGAGTGGGAGAGGGGGAAGCAGGCTTCCCGCTGAGCAGGGAGCCAGAGGTGGGGCTTGATCCCAGGACCCTGGGATCATGCCCTGAGCCGAAGGCAGATGATTACCCACTGAGCCACCCAGGTGCCCCGTCATTTTTATTTTTTATTTTAAATATACGCATCATAGGGGCACCTGGCTGACTCAGTAGAGCATGCGACTCTTGGTCTCAGGGTTGTAAGTTCGAGCCCCATGTCAGGTAGAGAGATTAATTAAAAATAAAGTCTTTAAGGGGTGCCTGGGTGGCTTAGTCGGTTGGGCATCTGACTCTTGGTTTTGGCTGGGGTCCTGATCTCAGGATCTTGAGATCCAGCCCACATGGGGCTCCATGCTCAGTGCAGACTGTGCTTGAGATTCTTTCCCCTCTCTCTCCCTCCTCCTCTGCTCCTCCCTCTGCTCATGCTCTCTCTCTCTCTCTAAAAATCTTTTTTTTTTTTTTTAAAGATTTTATTTATTTGACAGAGAGAGACACCACGAAAGAGGGAACCCAAGCAAGGGGAGTGGGAGAGGGAGAAGCAGGCTTCCTGCTGAGCAGGGAGCCTGATGCGGGGCTCAATCCCAGGACCCTGGGACCATGACCTGAGCCAAAGGCAGATGCTTAATGACTGAGCCACCCAGGCTCCCTAAAATAAAATCTTTAAAAAATAAAATAAAATCTTTAAATATACCCATCATATATGCATAGAAAAAAGAGGATACATTTTTTTAAAGATTTTATTTATTTATTTGAGAGAGAGAGGGAGGGCATACACACAGAGGTTGAGGGAGAGAGAGAAAGAGCTTCCCCACTGAGCAGGGAGCCCAATGCGGGGCTCGATCCCAGGACCCTGGGATCATGACCTGAGCTGAAGGCAGATGCTTAACCGACTGAGCCACCCAGGCGCCTCCCTACTTTTTCTAATATAAAACAAAAACACAATGAAAACTTGTTTTTCTTTTTTTAAAGATTTTATTTATTTATTTGACAGAGAAAGAGAGAGAGGGACACAAGCAGGGGGAGTGGGAGAGGGAGAAGCAGGCTTCCCACAGACCAGGGAGCCTGATGCGGGGCTCAATCCCAGGACCCTGGGATCATGACCCGAGCCAAAGGCAGACGCTCAATGACTGAGCAACCCAGGTGCCCCGAAAGCTTGTTTTTCTAATTTTTTTTAAAGATTTTATTTTTAAGTAATCTTTATACCTAATGTGGGGCTCAAACTCACAACCCTGAGATCAAGAGTTGCATGTTTTTCCGACTAAGCCAGGCACCCAGGCGGCTTGTTTTTAAAGAATAAATATGGGGGCACCTGGGTGGCTCAGTTGGTTAAGTGCCCATCTCTTCATCTCAGCTCAGGTCTTGATCTCAGGGCTGTGAGTTTAAGCCCCATGTTGGGTTCACACTGAGTGTGGAGCCTACTTAAAAATAACAAGAAAAAGGGGTGCTTGGGTGGCTCAGTTGGTTAAGCGTTGGACTCTTGATTCTGGCTCAGGTCATGATCTCAGGGTCATGAGATCCAGCCTCCTGTTGGGCTCTGCGCTCAGTGGGGAGTTTGAGATTCTCACTCTCTGCCCCTCCCCTCCGCTCATGCACACATGCTTGCTCTCTCTCTCAAATAAATTATTTTTTTTAAAGATTTATTTATTTGACAGAGAGAGACAGAGTGAGAGAGGGAACACAAGCAGGGGGAGTGGGAGAGGGAGAAGCAGGCTTCCCGCTGAGCAGGGAGCCTGATGCGGGGCTCGCCCTGGGATCATGACCTGAGCCGAAGGCAGACGCTTAACGACTGAGCCACCCAGGCGCCCCTTAACTTTATTTTTTTAAAAAAGATTTTTATTTATTTTTATTTGAGAGAGAATGAGAGCTAAAGAGATCACAGAGGGAGACAGAGAAGCAGACTCGCCACTGAGCAGGGAGCCTGATGGGCTCGATCCCAGGATGCTGAGATCATGACCTGAGCCGAAGGTAGATGCTTAACGACTGAGCCACCCAGGAGCCCCTCAAATAAATTAAAAAAAAAAAAAGAATAAATATGAAAACTTGACATCATATAATAACAAAGTCACCTATAACATATCAAATAAAGCCTAAAAGTTAGAATTGGAACTTTGAGTCCATAACTTAAGAGTTCATTTCTATGTTCACAGTGCTGGATGCCCTCATTTTACTGGTACTCTTAAGAGATACAGCCTACCGCTAATACTCAATTAAAAAGAAAAAAAAACCCTAGACTTTTCTTTTTCTGGCAGAAATCCTGACACAGTAATATGTGTTTTTAGCCCTTCTAGACTAGACTACTGTAATTTGCTCCTCCTTAGGCTATACATTAAATTTGTTCAGAAGCTGTAAAATTGCTCATTTGGTAGCAATTGAAATGACTTTTCTGCAAAAAGTTGCAGATCAGTAAGACTCACAAGCTGTGAAGTACACAGACCAGCACAGCCATTCAAACCTGACACTAAACTTGTATCACAGTACAGTGGTGGAAAATGCTTAAACTCTGCTTTTGCTAAAACCTCTAATGCTCAAACACTTTAAAGTGACTAAGACCCAACAGGGCTGTCCTCTAGTTAGGAAACCCAACAGGCTGGTCAAAGGTCAAGCCTTCTCAGGATTTCCTACAGGGAAGGAGGTCTAAAGAAGGAGGGTTGTTCCACTTAGGATTTGTCTTTCAACTTCCACACTGGCAGCACCACTGTTGCCTGATGCTTTGTGTTTTGCTTGCTTAGCCTTAGGAAAGAGGCTGGATTAAAAAAATAGGGGATTTTTTAATTAAAAAAGTGATAGATATATTTGTATTGATTAAGTCGGAAAAATATACACTAAAATATTAACAGTAGTTTTTCTCACAGTACTGTTTTTTTCTTTTATATTCTCTCTGTATTTTCTTTTCGTTTTTTTTTTAAGGTTTTATTTATTTATTTGAGAGAATGAACACACACAAGCACAGGGGAGGGGCAGAGGGAGAGGAAGAAGCAGGCTCCCCGCTCAGCAGGGAGCCTGATGTGGGGCTTGATCCCAGAACCCTGAGATCAGGACCTGAGCCGAAGGCAGATGCTTAACCGACTGAGCCACGTGGGCGCCCCTCTCTCTGTATTTTCTGCACATGTTAATTTCATTATGAGAAGATTAAGCTATTTTTTCAAAGTAATCACTTAGAGCTAAGGGAACTGTGTTTTGTTTTTTTTTTTAAAGATTTTATTTAGGGCGCCTAGGTGTCTCAGTTGTTTATATATATTTTAAAGATTTTATTTATTTGGCAGAGAGAGACAAAGCAAGAGAGAGAACACAAGCAGGGGGAGTGGGAGAGGGAGAAGCAGGCTTCCTGCTGAGCAGGGAGCCTGATGCGGGGCTCGATCCCAGGACCCTGGGATCATGCCCTGAGCTGAAGGCAGCTGCTTAACTGACTGAGCCACCCAGGCGCCCCTGATTGTGTCTTGATAATATACATGCTTATTTATTTTTTTAAAAAAGATTTTACGTGAGGGGGGGGAGAGAGAGAGAGAGAGAGAGAGCAGAGTGGGGTGAAGGGCAGATGGAGAAGCAGACTCCCTGCTGAGCAGGGACCCTGATGTGGGGCTTGATCCTGGGAGTCCAGGATCATGACCTGAGCCAAAGGCAGATTCTTAACCGACTGAGCCACCCAGGTGCCCCTATATATGCTTATTTAAATGATTTATTTAAAAATTGGTAAAATATACATAACATAAAATTTACCATTTTAACCATTTTTAAGTGTAGAGTTCAGTAGTACTAAGTGCATTCATGTTGTTGTGCAACCATCACCACCAGCCATCCACAGAACCTTTTTCATCTTATAACACTGACTCTCTGTGCCCTTTAAGCAATGACCCCTCCAATCCCCTCTGTCTCCAGCCCCTGGTACCCACTATTCTACTTTGTCTCTGTGAATTTGACTACTCTAAGTACCTCATACTATGGAATCACTTCATATGTTTTTGAAATCTTAGACTGTTTTTAAATTGTATAGACTTTTCTCAGTAACAAAACTTGAGGGTGGACAAAACTGTATTTCCCATTTTGCCTTCCATATTGCTATGATCACTTTCCACATGTCACACAAGCACCTGGGCCCAGGGCAGTGCTCACCTGTGTAGGTGTAATGTGGCTGATGTCTTCAGATGCAAGCTGTTTCAGAAGAGTGGTCTTGCCAGCATTATCCAAGCCCAGGAGAAGAATTCTCACCTCCTGGTCTGGTGCACTTTTCAATTTGCGCAAAATTGAGAGCAAGCCCTTAAACAACCATGAAGAAGAGAGATTACTTTTGAGGCATTGACTTTGATATTAGTAGATATCAGAATATCTTCTCCTCCTTGAAAAAAGTTCTTGGTTGTGGAGAGCTCACAGTATTATTTTCCAGCTCAACGTCATTTATTCCATTTGCTTCCTCCTCCTAAGTTTTGGCAGAAGTACTTCAGCAAATTCAGCAACTCAATAAATAGCATGGCTTATTGCTGTTCCTCCTATTAATCCAGTTTAGCAGTCACCCCAAATCTTCTGGGAGTGTGAACTACTACTCAATGTTCCTAAAGCCCTTCATATACACTTAGAGTAGAGCACACATCATATCAGACTATAGGTAATTGATTTTTGTATTTTTCTCCTAGAGTGAAATTTATTGCAGGTAAGAGTTATAGCTTTGGTTTCCCACAATGCCTGGTACTTATTGGATAGACATTAGATAATAGTTGTTGAATTAAATACAATTATCCACCCAAGTAAGTGCAAGATTTTTACCATGCTACACACACACACACAAATACACACACACTCTAAAAAAAAAACTTGTATAAAATTGTTTAAGACTTTATTTCAGTTTACATTTAAGACTTCAGCATTCAAAATACTCTATCATCACCTAAAAAACCCCCAATACTCTATCACCATCTAATTTTCACAAGACCCATATAGGACAGTATAAATATGTTTTTAGTAGTATATATTATAGTATAAATTATGTTTTTCAGATGAAGAATCGGATACAACAGAGAGGTTAGAACATTGTCAGTCAGTCATTAAGAATAAAAACAATCACAATTTAGCCAGGGTATTTTTTACTAGTAATTTAATATAATAATTGTTTCTTGTTTTTATTATTTTTTAATGGCTAGAAATAAACCATATTGCCTTTTAGCTACCAACATAAGAAAAATTGTATAAGATAGTTATTTGTTCTGTCCTGCAGCTGACAGTCTTGTTCCAATGAGGCATGAGTTACAACAAGAATCAAAGAATTCCAGAGTTTAAAGGGCATATAATCTAATCTCCCAGCCCAAGCAGAAATTCCTTCAAGCTGAGTCTTAGAATTAGATAAAATGATTATATATTTTTTTATCCTTATTGCACCAGGCAATAATTCAAACCAGCCTGCTCACTAAGATCAAATAACCATTCTGTGAAATAATTCTCAACAACTGAGTCTTTGGACAATGATATGCAAATATGCATAATTATTAAGAATTCCTTTCTGCCTCAGAGACTCTTTGTTTACCACTTCTAGTGTTCTGTATTTGCACTGACTTGTTAAGGATTACATTAACCTCTCTGTACCTCAATTTTTTCCAGCAATAAGATGGAAGATTTAGTTTAAGACAGAAAGACAAATTCTATACTAAAAGATTTAGGAAGAATGATTGAATAGATTTCAAACAAACAAAAAGATAGGCAGGTCTTTTTTTTAATTTTAATTTTTTTTTTTGGCATGACATTTTTCTTTTGTTTTTATCTTATCTGGCCTTGAATACTTTGACAACATTCCTTTTTAAAACTGTATTTATGAGAAGCCTCCCTGGCTTCTATTAGCTACATTGCAATCACTCATTTATAATACCATCTTTCAGAACAGTTAAAATTAGAATTCTGAGATCCTCAGGGGACTGGTAATATAAAAAGGCTAGAACAGGGAAAACACATTGTACTACTCATCCTGAGTTCTTGATTAGATGTCCTCATTACCTCTTCCAATAAAATTCTAAAATAACCGAAATTTATCACATCAGTACATGAAACGACAGTACAGGTAAAATTCTCATGCATTATCTACTAGTGTAGAGATCATGAAAGATGTTTCTATAAAATATTTTCAAGGTTCAAAATGAATGTTTTAGATTTTTCCTCACGTGTCTCCTCTTTTAAAACAAATCTGTAAATAAAAATACTGCTTTCTGCAGGCTGAGACTTTTTACACGCTCATTATATTTGAAATTGAACAATGAAGAGAAATTAATTTCTATTCATCTTAAAAGGGGAGAAGCAAAGCACAGAAGAGAAAACCATTCTAACTATACCTAAACTTTATTAACTTAAAGGTATCAAAAAATGATACTTCTATATTTCTAATGAGTGATTTTCCTTATCAGGAATTAACTTCATATGCTTCACCTTTAAGTGAAATTACAGAGAAATGGAAAGTTCAGTTACTATTTTCTTCTACCAAAATGATAAATAGCATCTGAAGCATGGTCTAGGGAAGACAATGCAAATATAGTACAGCATCATATTAACCCAACTACTGAGGACAGGGGATCACAGGATTATCAGGGTTTGCTAAATAGGGAAGAGGATATTTATAGATATCAGAGTTCTGCCTGAAAGGTACAAAGTAAGCTGATTTAAGAGGCTGGAGGAAAGAGAGCAGAATAAGTCTATGTTTCTAAACATAAGTGTCCATACTTTATTTTAAATGTCAAATGAAGGGAGACAGCCATTAGAAGTTAATTTTATTATGGGGCTGAGTTTTGTAGTATAAATACAAGGAAACGAATTTTTAAAGTGCATTTTTTGTTAAAATACCCATTCATTCCTTCATTCACATTAAATATCCACAGTGTGCCCCACGTACAACAGTGAGCAAAACAGATATGATTTCTATGTAGGATTTGTATTCCTTTGACATTAAAGACAATTTAAGAAATCGGAACTTTAGTTCATTGTTTAAAGTCTATTATCAGCATGTGTGCATATAAGTTATCTGCACCCTGGTGGACAGAAGTGGTCTGACTCAGTCATAAAACATCTAAACAAACTTTTTACAGGCAAATTATGAATACATGTGCTATTGACTACAGATATTTTATCTGCCTCAAAATCAGCTTAAACTCAGCTACTGGCAGAGGCATGGTGCACTGACCTAAAATGATACAAACTAGGTCATTCAGAGAAACTAGGGTGGTAGAGGGTGAGAGAGGAATGTGATGGTGGACGGAAAGTGTATGTGGCTGTGAGAAGCAGTTAAAATTTTTAAGTATTAAAATTAATAAGCCAACTGTCAAGTACATGTACTCCCCATAACTAGCTTAAATGAAACTGACTTCAATGTGTCTTTACCTCTTTAACAGAAAAATTATGCCGCTCAGGGAGACGTTATTAACTTCCAGGAACTCCTATGGCTTTGATAGGGAGAACCTCACCCAAACTTGTCTTCTTTCTCCTCATCTCTCTACTAAATAAATACAGTGTTTCCTGAGGATCAAAATATGGGCATTTCCTCAGGAAGAGTGTGTTCCCACCTTACCAGACTCCTAATAAAAACACTGGGGATGGGGGTGGGGGTGCCTGCCTTGCTCAGTCAGTAAAGCATGCGACTTGATCTCCGGGTTGTGAGTTCAAGCCCCACATTGTGGGTAGAAATTACTAAAAAAAAAAAAAGAAAACAAAAAAAAAAAAAAGAGGGCGCCTGGGTGGCTCAGTCAGTTAAGTGTCTGCCTTAGGCTCAGGTCATGATCCCGGGGTCCTGGGATCGAGCCCCGCATCGGGCTCCCTGCTCCGCAGGAAGCCTGCTTCTCCCTCTCCCACTCCCCCTGCTTGTTCTCTCTCTCTCTCTGTCAAATAAATAAAATCTTAAAAAAAAAAGAACATTATGGGCTTTGGAATTTCATAGACTTGAATTCACCTTTCTTCCATGTGTAACCCTGGGCACCTAGAAAATGGGAACAATACTTATATCTTAAGAAAAATGCTCTGAAGATTAAGTGAGATAATGTATGTAAAGCATAGTGCGTAGTAGACACTCGAAGCAGTAGTTACATTGGTTGTTTTGTTTTTTAACTTTTCACTGACCATCTTCTGACCAGAAAACACAATTTTAGGAACAGTCTTCCAATGCTGAACATGCTTGATAACTACCACTAGGTTCATGTATGTAGAAAGTACTCCATAAATAATTTGAGTGAAGGGGTCATCTGTTAAATAGCAGTGATTACTTAATGCACTAACATTACTGTCATCTTAGTATTTAACCAAAGACTTGATATCAAAAGGCAGGGCTAAAATAGCTGACTAAAAGTTCAGAGAAAACATTGGGGTTTTTAAATAAGAAATAAAACATATTAGTCATAGCTGAAGGTTTATAAAGCAGAAACAAAAACCTGGGACTCATCCTTTAGTTGTACAGTTATCACAGGGATGGTTGACACACTTAATCACACCACTGATGGTTTAAATTCTATGTTCCACTTTTAGTTCTAAGAATAGCTCACACTTTTGGAGATAAAAAAATGTATTTGGGAAACCAGATAAAGAATCCAGAATGATTTGCCCTAATTTCATATTGTTCATTTTAGGAAAAAAAAAGAAAAAATCTGTCTTATCAATGAACACAACAGTTGTATACAATAGTGCTGTAGCACTGTCAATTTGCTGTCTACAGTGTCAATTTGCACCTGGAAACATGAGCAGTGGTTAATTTATTGTGGCCTGTAATTATAAATTAATCATGAAATTACAGAGTCCACTTAGTTGATAAACAAACTGGGAAAAGTTAGCCAATGCTCATGCGTTTCTCATTTATGATGACATCTCATTCTCTGTTGGTTTGGCATGCCTTTTTCATTCCAATTCTAGTTATTTTCTGTGTAAATATTTATGTTTGTACTCATTTGTTGAGAAAAACTTAGCCTTTAAATGGACAGCCCATGTATAAATGATTAATAAAAAGAAAACATGTAAAAATCTGTTTAGCCTGAGGTTAATAAAACTGCAATGTAGCAAGTGTGAAATGTGATTGGCATCTTCAGATCAAATTCTACTTCTTTAACAATCTGACAATGTAAAATCAATTCTTTTTCCTATCAAAATTTACTCATTGGATAATCTGACCAAAGGTGCATGCATTTTTTTTTCCTTGCAGACATCTAGTCTTTTTTTCATAAATTAATGGACGTGGGGTGGGGAAGTAACTAAGTTTGAGTGCCTGGCTCTAAAAGTCAAAAAGGACCGTGGGTTGGGGAAGTAACTAAGTTTGAGTGCCTGGCTCTGTGCAGTTGGTAAGCCACCCAACCTATTCTAAATGCTTCAAAGTCAATTTTGCTTTGACGTGCTCTAATACTACTCAATTCCATTTCAATACCCTCCAACTAACTGCACAGAAATCAACAAGGAACAGCGTGTCAACGGTCAAATCTGTCTCATCATAATTCACAACTTGGGAAAGCTTTAAGTCTGACAGAGAAAAGCCAATTGATAGCCACTCTAGTTTTAATTTCCCATTCTTTTTAGTTTGGAGATCCCAAGGTGAGATTAAGATCTTTGGTTCTGGTGTGGTCATATGTAAAAGGTTGCAACAGGTTTGAAATGAAATACTAAGGACTGCGCAGCAAATTTGCCTCCATCAATATGGATTAAGTGTTGAAGGGAAAATCGGTCATCACCAACAACCAGACTTTACAGAACTCTCAGCAAATAAATAACTCGTTGCTGCCACGCACACACCAAGACCGCGTAAAATCCACCAGGCATCCCTTACAAGCGGTACCTCTTTGTGTCCTGGGATTTACACCCCTCCCCCCAGAGGCCCGCACTTCTCGAGGAAGAGGAGAGCTAGGCTACCATCTCCCCTAGTACCGCGAGGATGACCTCAAAGACAGTAGCGCTGACCCTTCTCCCCGCTTCTGGCCGGACCCCGGTGGACCCACTTTCCAGCGGTACCGGAAGGCCGATTCCCTAGGAAGATCTAAGCCTGCATGCGGAGGCTGCTTTCCGCAGTTATTCGGCTCCGCCCTCGCCTCAGTCCCTAGTAATGATGGAACCCCGGCTCTGTACCGGGATAGCCACGCAACCTTTCAGCCCCTTCCCCTAGCTTCGGACCCGATGCAAGCCCCGCCTTCCTCCCCAGGCCCAGGGCCTCCCCACCTTCGGGATTCCCCGCTGCCCCCCGAAACCAATCCAGAACCCAGACTGCAGGTTGAGCGCCGTCCCATTCCCTCCTTGGCTTCAAGCGCAGTGGCCAGCCCTGGACCTGAGGACGGGAGGGGGGTGACCGGCCAGCTCCAGAGGGGCCCAGGCCCCCACACTCACCATCCTCCCGCCGAGTCCCACCTCCTCCTCCTCCTCCTCCTCCTCCTCCTCCTGCCTCCCCGTTACCCGGGGCAACTTCTGCGGCACCGCCCCCGACGTCCCTCGCACGCACAGCCGAGAAGCAAAGCAGCCGTACGGGGCGGGGTCCAGCTCCGCTTTCCCCAAAGTGCGCAAGCGCGCCAAGGTGCCCGCCCACTGCGCAGGCGGGCTGCTGGAGCGACTGGAGCCGGCTGCCGGCTGGTAGAGACCCGGCGAATGGTTAAAGCTCGCCCACGTGGCTGGTGGGCTCCGCCCAGCCTGTGATTGGTCGGGAAGGAGCAGAGCAGGGGCGCGGCGAGGGGTGGTTCCCGCGCCGAGGCCGCAGGTTACTACAGGCCGGGCTTCCATCGCAGTGTACTTCTGTTGGCAGTTGTCTCAGTACATTCGTCCCGGGACCAGGTAAGGGGTCTTGGGAGGAGGCCGCCTACCACACCCTCTTCTAGACCCCACATTTCCGGAGGGAGTTTGGATTTATGTCCTGACTGCCGAGGCAGGGCTGCTGCGGGGGCTGGGCTTCCACCTGCTGTAGCCACGTGGCGCGAATAGTGGCCGGGGGCTGCCCAGGGACCGCTCCCTTATTGTCCCCGGCGCTATAAGGCCCAGCTGAGGGGTGGGGGGCCTTATGGGCTGTGCATCTATCTCCACATTTCTGTGTTAGAGTCCAGGATGGAGGAGTCCCGTGGTGGGAGGCTGCTTGTTGGAGGGCAAGAGGCAGCCTGGGAACTGGCCCTGAACACTGAGGTGAGCAGACAGCAGGGGTGAAAGGCGTTTTGGAATGGCCGGGTTTTGCTAAGCAACGTTGGACCGGATAGTGCACTGTCTGCAGCCCCAGAGGAGGCAAAAACGGGCCTGCACTTACAGTCAAGCGAGAGTGAAAGGGATTCTGGGTGGGTTGAGAGGCGCTACCTCCCACCCGACCCATGGTGAGAACAGGTAGAAGAGTTAATCACGTATGTGCCAGCTCCTGTTCTAGATTCTGGAGACGCAGCAGGGGACAACATCTGCCCTCATGGAAATTACATACTTCTTGGTGGAATGCTTTTCACACAAGATTTCATTTCATTCTCACAGCCCTAGAAATTGGTTCTAAGCGATATGGAGTCGGGACTTGAACCAGTTCTGACTCTGGAGCAAGGGATTTTAACACTATTGTGTTGTCTAAGTAGGAGGAACAGAACGGCTTATATTTGTGCTTTAAACTCAGAACTTTTTAAGAGTTGGTAAAGTGTTGGCACTGATGATAAACACACGTGTGTGCCTTTTACGTCCTTCATTGGGTTCTTGTGAGGATTATGTGATTTATTATATGTCAGGTACCTAAGATATTGCCTGGCACATGGAAAGTGCTACATAGGATTTAGCTATTATTATTATTATTTTTCAAAGATTTTATTATTTGACAGAGAAAGCACAAGCAGGTGGAATAGAGGCAGAGAGAGAGGGAGAAGCAGACTCCCCTACTGAATAGGGAGCCTGATGCGGGGCTCGATCCCAGGACCCCAAGATCATGACCTGAGCCGAAGGCAGTTGCTTAACCTACTGAGCCACCCAGGCCCCCCAGGATTTAGCTATTATTGCTTCATGTAGGTTTGGGGGCTTTGCCCCTCTTTCTACCAGCAGGCTTTCCAGTCTACTTAACATCACTGGAACGAAGGTGGATTTTTCCTGAATGGTCCTTAGCTATTTATGCATTCAACTAAAGTGTGTTTTTAAACATCTGCTCATGGCATACCTGCTTCAGATCCTTGGAAAGAAAACTCAGTTCAGAACCTTGATTAAGTAGATGCAAGATGAATGGTTAATTCAGAGCGTGCACTCCTACAATCCACCCGTCATCTCTAGCCTGTTGGTTCTTTTGTGAAAAAGGAAGGGCAGACTTCTCTTTCTGAGTTATCTGGTGTCTAACATCATGGTTGCCTTGGAGTCACAGGAGTGTACCTGGGCCTGCTTGTGTAATTATTAGTCTCATTGTCCAACTTTCTCTAGGCAGCCTTGGCACCAACCCTTGCCTATCTCAGGTGGTCTTTGTGTTTGATCTTCTTGAGTCTGGCTGCCTTGATCTTCCTCTGATGCAAGTACCAGTGATGATGTTTTGCTTTTCTTCCTACCTGGGGATACAAACAGGGAAATCTTGAGTACTTTACCCCTTTGCAAGAGGATACCCAAAGGGAGTTTGGAAGCCTGTTCTCTGATACTGTTTGCCAGAGAAAATCAACTCTGTTTTTTTTTTTAAGTAAACTGCATCCCCAGCGTGGGGCTTGAGCTCAGACCCCAACATCAAGAATTGCATGCTCTACCAACTGAGCCAGTCAGGTGCCCCAAAACTCAGTTCTCTCTAAGAAGGATGACTTCAGGAGAGGTAATAGGTTGTTTCATTTTTTTTCCCTCTTTTCTCTCTCTCTCTCTTTTTTTTAAAGATTCCGTTCATTTATTTGACAGAGAGAGACACAGCGAGAGAGGGAACACAAGCAGGGGGAGTGGGAGAAGGAGAAGCAGGCTTCCCGTGGAGCAGGGAGGCTGATGTGGGGCTCCATCCCAGAACCCTGGGACGCTGACCCGAGCCGAAGGCAGACATTTAACAACTGAACCACCCAGGCGCCCCTCTCTTTTCTCTTTTTTCCCCCTTCCTCCCTTCCTTCCTTCCTCCCTCTCTTCCTCTCTCTCTCTCTTTCTTTTGGCCTGTAGTAGATGGAGGACCCATCTAAGTGACCCTGAGCCTTGTGACCTGGGGAGAAGAGGCCCTGGCTATTGTCAGATTGTTGGATGGATGGACAGGACTGGAGCTGTGGTTAGGGCAGAGTTGGGTGTAATGTTCAGTATCCTGGCTCAATCGATGTGAATCTTTCTAAGCATCAGTTTCCTCTCCTCTAAATTGAGATCTTGGATCCCTCACATCTTTGAGCTGTGATATTCTCCAGTCCTCAGAGCAAGGGAATTATTGGTCAGTCATCTGTTTGATTTCCAGCTCCCCCCTTGTTCCCAGTAGTGGAACCATATTCTTCCAGAACTGAGGCCACCCTGGACACGGTAGTGACCTCTTTAGGGAATACTAGATGCGGCTTATGTGGGAATAGGGAGAATAACTGTTCTAGAGAAAACCTAGAGACGAGATTGAACTCAGTACAGGAGGGGTAGACCATTTGCAGCTTCGGGACCCAAAGCCTGCCCTTACTTCTGTAACCAAGACAGGTTTTGAGTTTGACTTGAAAGAGAGATGTCCTTGATGCCTAAGGAGCTCAAGAGTAAGATGAAATGCATTTCAGGTAGGCAGTAAGTATTTTTAGAAGACCTGGGAGGGCTACAGCACCAACCTTATAATTGGCCAGGGGAGGCCAACTTTATACAAATAATTGTATATAACAAGAAAGTGATGATTACAAAGCCGAGTGTGTTGCAAATGAGGATAGGGTGCTGAGAGTATATGACAGAAGGGTTTGAGTTTGCCCTGAAGGAGTCATGGAACTGTGCCCGTTGGGGGGCAGCAGATGTGGGGGGAAATATTTTAGACATAGAATAGAATTTAGATTTCTTTTTGACCTTATGTTTTTGCTTTTTTTTTTTTTTTTTTTTTTAGATTTTGTTTATTTGAGAGTGCACATGGGTGTGTGCAAGAGAGAGAGAGAGCGAGAATGAGCAGGGTGGAGGGAGGGGGCCTAACCTGACGTGGGGCTCCATCCCAGGACCCTGGGATCGTGACCCAAGCTGAAGGCAGTTGCTTAACCAACTGAGCCATCCAGGCGCCTCTGGCCTTATGTTTTATGTAAGACAGGGACTGGGCAACTCATATGCTGACCTTGGTAATGAGGGGAAAGTTTCTTGAATAGTTTAGCAAATGATTATGCCTTCATGGTAGAAGTACTTCCATTATGAAAGGTAGAGGACTTTCCAGTGTTGGGTTGAGGGTGGAAAGAGTTATCTAAGGACAGGTTGTGTGTGTTCGGGGAAGGAAGGAAGCATAGCATGTTCGGGGCACCTGGGTGGGTCATTTGGTGAAATATCTGCTTTCAGCTCAGGTCATCATCCCAGGGTCTTAGGATTGAGCCCTGCTTCAGGCTCCCTGCTCAATGGGGAGCCTGCTTCTCCCTTTGCCCCTCCCCCTGGCTTGTGCGCACGTGCACGCTCTCTCTCTCAAATAAATAAATAAAATTAAAAAAAAAAAAAAAGGCAGCATAGCATGTTCTGTTGAGCTTTCTCCAGCAGAAGGGCTGAAGCCCCAGCTTGGGACTCTGTAACCCAAGACAGTGTGTGATCTGCCAGCCAGGCCAACAACTCCTTTTAGCCCCATGTAGAGCCAGGGAAGGTAAACTCTTGCCTGTCTCCCACTCCTGCGTTCAGTTGTGATTGCATGAAATAGCTTTGGTCTTTGAACCAGCCTGTAGGAGGCCAAGTCAGCCTGTCCCCAGAGGACAAAGCCCAGAGCCTTCCCGTGGGCTTTGTGGCAGAGTGAGAGAGGCAGAAGTCTAGCAGTGGACACTCGCTGTCTGGCTTCTGACTTCTTCAGAGGTTGCCGTTCAGTGGTGGCCTCAGGGCCAGGGGAGGGTGCCATGAGAACTCCATGGGAGGCCTCCCCTTCTCTCCTGGCTCAGCATGTCACTTTGCTGAAGTCTCTCCCACCTCAAGAAAAAAATCTAAAAATTGACCATCTCTCCCTTGACTGCATTTGTTAGCTCCTCATGCCTCCTCTGTCTCTGGTGATTCTTTCTCATCTATTTGGGCTTCCTTTTTTGGGGGGGCTGGCCTCTTACATGTGGTGGTTTTCAGGCTATGTCCTCAGCACTTTATTTTTCCCATTCTGTGTGTTCTCACTGGAAAACTTTCTCTTAACCGACCTTGATGCCGCCGACTCATTGTTTTACTTCTAACTCAGATCTCTGTACTTTCTTTTAAGCCTAAATATCCATTTCCTGACAAACTGGACCTCTTACTCAGCATATACTTGAATTCTTGTGCAAGCACTGGGGTGGAGGAAAATGACACAGTCCCTGGGTCCAAGGAGCTTATGACCTAGAGGGGAAGGTAGGCATTCATTAAAATAAAACCACAGAGTGTTAGAACGAACTGGCACAGCTCTGAAGAAAAAGTACAGAGCCAAGAGCATCTGATCTGGTGGTCGGGGAGAGAGAGGGGCCAAGCGTCCTTCAAAGGATTCCCTGAAGAAAGGTTTAAGCCAAGATCTGAAGGATGAGGAGGTGCTTCCTTGCAAGTAACTCTAGATTGTTCTGGAGAGCAAAAGGCTACTTACTGAGGGGGAGGGTGGAGCCCTGATGTTACGTGCTAATACGTCTGCTTTTCAGGCTGCTATTTATTCTGAGGTGGCTTTGCTGTGGACTTCTCTTGCAGCTACAGTGGCCCATTCGGCTCTATTGGGGTGGGAGTCTCGGTTAGAATTCTCCTTTCAT